AGGGATTGGGGTTCATCCGGCGATGATTGTGCATTTCCTAGGTATGGCTGGAGTAAAAAGGATTTAATCCCAGAGGGGTTGTCACTTTGTAAATGTTACTAACACTTGCACTTATGTCATTTGTGATAGAAAATACCACTAAATATCAAAGCGTTGATAATTTAAAGAATGATTGCAAGATTGGATGGCTGTGTGAAACTATACAAATGCCGACTTTTCGAACGTTGCGAGCGAGATAAACTACATAATTGAGGCACAATCTAAGAACTTCAGTACTTGAAGCCATTCCTCAAGTTGTCTATGTTGGAGTAGCAACTCCCTTCAGCAGGGGCAGGTTCCTTTCCTTGATTTTCCGGCTTAATATACAAGGCTGTTCCTCATTCCCTGCTAACAATGTTCAAAATCCTATGGTTGATCTGTTTTGCTCTCGCCAGCTGAGATGGTGGCAGGTCGAGGGATCCACTAGAACGGTATTTTTTTGTCCAACGCTGAACAGATGGGTCAGTCCTCATCATTCATCTTTGGGAACTAACATTGACGGGGGCACATAGCCGCATCCACCCTTCATTTCCACCTCTGAGGATCTCTTATGACAAGCCGCCAGACGGGGACTCGGCCCATCTCGAGCTCCTCATGACAGGTTTGATCGAAATGCCCAAGCCACGACTACCTAGGTCGTCCCACAGACCTCCTCCACCCAGGGTTGTCTGTACAGAGACAACCTGGTGGGTAGATCACCCTGTGGGAACGAGCCAGTTGGGTGTATAGCCTCAGCTGGCGATCATAGACTGTGCCAGTCTCATGGTGCAAACATTGGTTGGCCAACAGTGCTCCATGGCGCAAGAACCTATTATTGAAGGCATCAAGACAAGTCTCCAAGTCGCAGGCTAATATCCAGGTTTCACTACCGTATAACAAACCGGGCATTATCAGCGCCTTGAAAATGCGTAGCTTGGTCTTGCAGAGGTACCGGCATCAAGTACTCTTGTCAAGAGTTCATGATCCCAGCTGCCAGGCCAATCCATCTGTCGACTTCCTGGTCTGACAACCCTAATTTAATTACACTACCAAAGTATGTAAAGCTGTGACTTCAATGTCCTCGCCGCAAGCATGTACCGACTGAACAGGTTCTAGCAAGTCCCCGAAGTCCTGGATCTTGGTCTTGGTCCAGATCTCTAGACCCAAGCGCTTCGTTTCAATATTAAATGCATCGAGCCACCACTAAGGTTTCCAAAGACTCAGATAAAATAGCATCACCATCAGCAAAGTCATGGTCAGTAACCTTGATATTGCCCAGAGTTGCTCCACAATGACTTTGAACAGTAGCTCTGCAAGAGTCGAAAAGAGTCCATGCAAGAGTCGAAAAGTGTTGCCTCACTCCTGAACTAACAGGAAAGAAACTCGACAGGCCCCCACCACACTTAAAAGTACTTTCAGTGCTAGTATACAAGCTTGCTATTAGTCCAATTATCCTTGTTGGAATTCCTCTCAATCTCAGGATCTCCCAGAGCAATTCCTGATGCACCGTATCAGATGCCTTCTTGAGGTCGATGTAGACCGCAAGCAGCCCATGCCCAAATTCGCATGGGTGCTCTACAAAGACTCGAAGCGCAAGGATACACTCTATTGTGGACGTGTATGGAGTGATTCCAGATTGCTCCAGCCTCTGGTCCCTCAGGATGTGGGCGAGAACCTTGCCTGGTATACTGAGTAGAGTGATACCTTGGTGACTGCTGCAGTCCTATCGGTCCCCCTTCCCGTTCCAGAGAGGGGTGACCACACGGGAAATAATACCGGACTGTCAGATGGCAGTCAGGACAGCATGCAACCTCTGCAGCATATGTTCACTACCACCCTTTAACAGTTAAGCTGGGATACTGCCTGATACATGCTGCTTTACCACTCTTCTGCTTGGAGATCACTCTTCTTATTTCAATTAAGGAGGTTGGATCCTCACTGACTGGTGGGTTCGGCAACGGAGTCTCGGCATTACCTGCATCCAAGTTAACTGTTGGTGGGTCAACCTGGTACAACTGCTCAATATACTCAGCCCATTACTCCCGCATCACAACAGGATTTGAGGCCATCTGGTCACTTACTAAGCGAACTGCTGTCACCTGTGAAAAGGGCTTGGTATGCAGGATGAAGGTCATTAACTAGGAAATGGCCTTTGACCTCCTCCGCAAGACTCCTAATAACCTGTTCCTTGTCCCTTCTCAACAGTGACCGAGTTCTGCAAACCTGAGAACGGTGCAAATCCCGATCCCGTTAGACGAGCTGCACAAAAAGCATCTGTGGCTTCCTGTCTCTCCTCCAAGATAAAATTAGATTCTTGAGCCGCATCAAGTGTTTTGCGCTTGAAGGTGTCCCACAGAAGTGCAGGGTCCCTCAGAGTATCGAGCCTTGGCAAACCCTGGTTCACTCTCTCCCTCAGCCTGTCCATATGAAACATATTAGAGTGGTCATTGGACAGCTGGGGAGTTTTGAAGAGGACCCAGAG